GTTACGAAAGGTATTTGTTCCTTATATTATGTCTGAGCCGTAGTCTGTCTTGATTTCTTTCCGTTACCGTTTCGTTATATCTGTCTAGCAGAGTTCGCTTCAACTGAAAATCCGAACAGACCGTTTTGCAGTCACGATGTGTCTGAATTCTCATAGATTGCGCCGTTAAGTTTCATCATCGTTCCATCTGCGTTGCTATCGGAATGAACCGATTTATTGGCAGTTTGGACATCTGACTTGGCAGTTGCATTATAGATGAGATCTGGAAATGTAACGATAGTAGCATCATACCATCGTTTTGATGGTTAAGTTTTTCTTGCTCTATCTGGAATGTTCTTGTCATTACCTCCTTATATGAAGATGATTACGTTTAATTTGACAATGCATTTAAAACATGAAAGCACCTTTAATTTGCTATTCAAAATACAGATAAATTCTAATTCAGTGTTTTATATTTTAGAAGGTGCATTTCAGTTCCATGTTTTTAAATTTTTTCCGTAGCGCTTGTTCTTTGGGTATGCTGATAATAATAATTTGCTTGGTATTGGAAGATTATGAATATCAGTTTTCTGTTATTTATTCAATTTGTGATGAACTTAATGCTGTCAGCTTTCAGGTGAATAATCATCACCTTTATTCGACTCAAGTTAAGTGACTTTCACTGAATCATGTCTAACTTGTCGAAAAAGAAGAAGGCGCATAAAGGCAGGAAAACCAAGCGACCAATAACCCCCAAGTGGAAGCTTTTCAGGGCGAAGGAACCTTTTCTGAGTGTATTCATGTGGGGAATAAATCATACGGTAAGCTATTTTTTACTATTCTATTAATATTTTAATGAAATAATTTTCTGTTAATATTTCATTAAGCAGTTTTGTATGTTATATCTGATAAACGCGGGTTACGGGACGTTATGGCACCGTCCCTATGAGGCATTTTTTGGTATTCCTCCATGATTAACTTATCCACGTAATAGTAGCGCACAGACTTTTATTTGGCCTTTTCTGCAATTGTACTGTTTATAAGTAAACCAT